GCATAATTACCGCCCAAAAAACACCATATAAGGCTATGTTTCCTGCCTCAGATACAAGTGTTCATTCATGAAAATGACAGCGAAAACTAAAAAGAAAAACTTTGCGAGTTCAGAGATTGAAGTCCGTCTGTCAGAGATCCAGAAAAGAAAATCTGTCATTTTTAGCAGGTCAGCTGTGGAATAAAAAGAGCTGCTAAAAGTATAAATAACTGTGTTAAATCATTTTCATTTATTCAGAAGACACAGCGCTGCGCAACACTCTGGGCATGTTTTTAATGAGAGAAAAAATATCTATTTTGCATTATAACCCAGCCCCAACTCTGACATTCTCATGACACCGATTTTGTAARTGATAAAGCAGTTTTCTGAAGTTTATGTAACTATGTCTTTAAAACATTTATAAAAACTCAAAGTTGGTAAAAAAAAAACTAGATACTGTCCTGACACCTGTGCAGTAGACAGCTGAAGGACTCTGCTGTTCTTACTGCATCTGTACCATCTAAAGAGGTCTTTGTTTTGCCTCATTTATGTCTCTGCAGAAAAAGAAAAAACAATTTACTTCAAACCAAATCTTAACTGGTCTGTAAACAATAGTTGCTGTCTCCAGACAGACACACGAGAACAGGTGTCGAGCCTCATTTATGGCCTCACACACGCACACATCTGATCTGTTGACCAGCGGAAGTAAAATGAAGCAAACAGATGGAAGCAGGTGGTTGTGGTGGAAAGAGGGCAGGCAGGGGTGAGTGGGAGCAGATTCCTTGTCTTTTCTTTCTATCGATCCCCCCTCTCATTAACACCCAGTCCTTTGCTCAGTCCCACGGGCAGACAGGGAGGTAATTAAAACCAAGGCTAATTAAAAAGTTCCAGCAGGTCGCTTTGTGTCTATATAGATGTGTGCAATGTAGAGGTACTAAAAAATGAAAGTAAAAGCCCAATACCTTGTGACCAGTTTTACCCGAAGTGACAGAACYTTTTACCTCACAGTGCCAGGGAAATGGCTAACTTTATTTAATTCCATCAAATAGGACACTGACGATGTTGACCATTTTTAAAAAGGGCTCCAGGGTACATCTGAACAAAGGAGTAGCTAAATACTTGACATTTGAGAGGACGAGACGTAAGAATAAGACTACACTCAGGGAGAAATAATTGCAAAAATTAGAGAGGGAGAACATTTTGTAAGTCCCACATAGAGATTATATAAATGGCATATTTAGAGAGTAATACACATACCCTGAATGGCTCCTTTTACGTGTTAGCAAATACATTTTTATTGCTTCGTTTTTAATGATGCTGTAAAACCAAGTMATTTACCCAGTTTCTTTAAAAGGCAACTCCCTTATCTGCAGCTTAATGGCTGTAGCATGCTGTTCACCGTTCCTAACGGTTGATTTTTTTAGGACGGCTGAGGAATATCCAGATTTTTTTAAACATTTGTTCCAAGAACTTATAAAATCTCTATTGCTTTAAAATCATAAAATCTTTATTTATATCACCATATCTGTACCTAACTTTAATATGTTAACGTTTAAGTTGCAGTTTTCCTAAAACCATTCATTATGTCACAAAGAAATAACTTCAATTCAATTAAATATCACTTAATTATTGGATTTATTAGGATATGATTGTGCCTTTTGTTTTTATTTAAAAAAGAGAACGCAGATTTAAGGCTCAGGCATWCTGTGCGCATTCCATGAGCCACACGGACTCCGCACATATTGTCCGCGGATGTTTGAGACTTCAKAMTCGAGCGTACTGACCCCCTGACAAATTCTTTAATTTCTCTYAATTTCAGTCATGGTGTCAAGGATGAGGAGTTTGCATTTTAGCTTTAAAAGAACAAAAGAAAAAAAGAAAAGAACTACCTTACCCAGGATCTGAGCTATTTCTTTCCCACAAATTTGTTGCTCGCTGAAAGTCTTTATAYTCCTTCATTGATGYATCATAAAGTTTTCTAATCTCCTYCATGAGACACTCTTCAAAATTTGACTCCATTTCGTCCACAAATGACACTGATTCTCAACTTTATCAGTTTGGTGTCGCATCCAAAACAGTACTCGTCGTGCAGTTTATCATGTGACACCGCGGACGTAAAAAATTGATCTTTGTGCAGACCAGTCCACATCTGCTTCGAGTCCGCCTCGAGTCCGCGCGGACTTAAGCGTACCGAAGTACATCCGAGTGTGTGGGGGCCTTAACTCTTAGTAAAATGATGCTTAATGTGGGTATACTGACTGTTGTTATACTATAAGGAAATACTTTGTATTTAGAACAAGGAAGCAGAAATATAGATTTGTTTTTCTTTTACAAATGTCCTCAAATCAAAATGTGTTTTAATTCTTAGTTARAGTCAAAACACAGTTTGATATACATTTTAAAAATCCAAACTATTTATTTTGTTGATGGAATGTGATTGTTTGAAATGTTTWAAAAAGTGCAGTACTTTTTATTATCTCATAAACTAATTAGTCAGTCACATTTCAATAACAATTTGTATTTGGAATGTACAGTTGGGACCAGTCTCTCCTATATGTCAGCTTAGAATATTTTGTTCCTATTAAGCCCAAGTTCTACACCCTGATCCAAACAGAGCTCATATTTACGCATACTTTTGTTCATAAGCCTAATCTGAGCAGCTTATTATGTGTTTTCTTTAGCCTAAAGTCTACAACTGATATAATATTTGAGAGCTAATCTTAAGACAAACGCACAAAGTAAAAAGCAAAATTGAAATCCGTTTTCCTGTAAAAGTAGGTGAAGCCCTGAGACGACTGCTTTGAACAAGTGTGCAGTGAAATCAGCAAGCACTTGTGGTCAGAACGTGTCCTCGTTCTCAGTGGAGCGCTGCTCTTAGACTGTGTCATATCCCTGTAATGGGATTAGATTTTGCCCTGAGTGTTTGCTGTGCAACATCTTCATCTCCATTAAGTTGTGTTAATAGAAGGCAGTTTTGTGGTGGAACTGAGCCAAGTCCCAAAACCCCACACTCAAAAATTCATAAAAGCATGAGAAGTCTCTCAGGAAGCCGTGCTGCCGTTTACAGATTCAAACAGGTTGACACAAGAGCCCCATAATGAAAAACAAGTTGAGTATTGTTAAAATCTCCTGCTTTTCTGCTCAAATATTTAGCCAGAAATGAAGCTCTGTGTCAAATCATTCAAGTAAATAAGAAGCTGGAACAGTCTAGCATTTTATAAATCAAATAACTTTCTACTGAACTAACATTAAATGATGTCAGATGGCTTTTTTATTAAGTTCAATGCATTATTTTCATATGTTTCTGGATGGCTCCTGGAGTAATTGGAAGTCCATTTAATAATAAATAAACCAGCAATAATTAAGGTTTGAAAAGAAATTTAATTACAATAAAAAAGCATTTTATTCCTCAGAGATCTAGAGCACATAAACAGTATTTTCTGGTTGCAGATGTCAAAGTTGTTTAAAGTTGATTATTTTGTCTGTGTGTGTTGCAGGTGGGTAACCTGGGCCTGCTCTTCATGCTGCTGTTTTTCATCTACGCCGCCTTAGGAGTAGAGCTTTTTGGAGAACTTGGTGAGGTTTTTTTTTTATTATTAGCTGTGTTTATGTCATAAAAACTCTAGCACGCATTGTTTCTATTTGTTTCATTACTTTTTGTAAATGACATAGACGTGTGCTCAATTAGAAAATTTGAGCTCAATTACAGTAKATGAATTTAAGGTATCTATGGCAGACATCTTGAATCAGGTTGATTTTAAAAACTAATTATTTAAAGCTGTACATCCAGAGAACAGTCATGGAAAATGATCATTGCACTTTCACCAACCTTGCATGGGGATGTGCAATAACACGTTCTCACTCCCGACTCGTCAACATATTGACTCTTGGTCAGGAGCCGTCTGCGTCCAGTTTTGCCGTGTCGTGTAACCCCCTCGCGTCAGTCATTGCCGCCCGCGGCTTTTCCGGGTTGTGCCACATGGGGGTCTTTGGGTTGTGGGTCTGTGGTTAAAATGAGGGATCAGAATTAATGGTTAATTTTAGGTACTGAGGTTGGGGATGCTGTACATGCCTAATAGAAGTTAAATTTAGGGTCTGGGACGGTTAGTTGTTGCGCATTTCCTACTTTTTTCAAAAATATGGCAACGCGCTCCTCCTCCTCCTCCTCATCTTGTTAAGAACTGACGCGAGGGGCTACCTGACACGTCCAAACCTGGATGCAGACAGCTATCTGACCAATCATCAAAATGTTGACGAGTCGGGAGTGAGAATGGGTTGGCAACAAATATTATTCTTCATAGGTATTGAACATTCAAATTATATATTGATATAAACTATAAAATAAACATTTTATTAGATCAAATTGTTGTAGGTTTTTTAATCTTCTGTTCACTCCCTTTGCTCGTTTTTTTCATGTCCCCACTTTTTTAAATGGCCCTTCATTATTCCTGACTTATCCATCATTGTTATTCTTTCACTCAGTTTGCAATGAAGACTATCCATGTGAAGGTATGAGTCGTCACGCTACCTTTGAAAACTTTGGCATGGCCTTCCTTACTTTGTTTCAAGTCTCTACGGGCGACAACTGGAATGGCATCATGAAGGTACCCTCCTGTTTCTGTTTCAATCAGCATGAGCAGTTTTAAATTACACGGGGTTGTGGGAAAGATTTGTGCAAGCTTGTGTAAACTTGTGTATCGGGTAAAAAAAAAAACTTAATCCAGCATTCTTTGAATGAAGGCATATCACCCCATTGTATTCCAAAGAAAGGAAGAAACATATTGTAGCTGTTTTGCTTAACAATCAAGAGATCTCACAAAATGTGTTGAACAATTTTCAGCTACTACCACATCAAATTTTGTCTCAATAGCTGTAAAATGATTGATTTTAGCTGTTAGGGTGTTTTCAAAGGTCAGCTGACCATGGCAGCCTTTTTTAAGTGATTTGCCAATAAATTGAAGATGACTCTTGACTATTTGACACCAAAATTTAGCTCAATAACTGTAAACAAATTGCCTAAGACTTGATGTGGGTAACATACCAGTTCTTATACGTTTACAGGAGACAGTACACAGCTATAAATGTATAATTATAAATATGAATATGAATTTTCTTTTCAAGCTCTCTTCTCATTGGCTCTTTTCCATTTTTATACTCTTTTCTGTTGAAGTCAACCTTCTTGTAAATGCTACAAAAACAGCTCCGCCACTTTGGCCTCTCATTTATAATATCTTTCCATTTGTGGAAYGCATCAGCAAATTTTAGAATATCTTTGATAGTATCTTTATATGCAACCAATCTTTCTAGAACCAAGTTCACTATATATCAACATCTTGACTGATCGATCAGCAGGCAGGTGTCCAACGCAGTCTGTTTCTGATAAGTGTGATCTCAATGTCCTCAGACTTAACCCATATTTGGCAAGTGGTTATTTAAATATTTTGCTAAAAGACAAACAAATGCATACACATTAAYATTTCACCATTTGAGTCATAGGAAGAGACTCAATTTGTTCCTTACTACATTCAATCTTTCTTATAGTTAAAGTGAGAAACAGCTGAGCCCAAACATCACACCTTAGTGAGGCGAGGGGAGATGACTGCCTCACATGTAAAAACACTAACCCTCGCACACATCTATCAGCAGATATCCTGTCTCCTTCATGTACATGTGCTGGGTGGGGAATAGAGATTATGCTGGAGAGTGTTGGCAAAAGCTGAATCCATGCAGAGCAGATAGCTGTGAGCATCAAGCAATTCAGCTGGCCACAGATGCTACCCCCTCAAAGTGAATTTCTGATGTTTTAGACCTAAAATTACAACCTGGGCAGTGAGAGAGGGAAAAAAAACCTGCTCAGGTTGTGTAAAAGGCTTGTAATGGTCAGGCGCTCAGTGAGAATTAGGGATGCAGTTATGATAAAAAAGACAGGCATTACTGAGAGAGAGAGCAGCGGCTTGAGAGGAAGGAAACCAGCGAATTGTAACCAGAGTGAAAATGAAAGCTTGGGAAAGGGGTTAAAAGGGCCATTTAGTATGCTTTCTCTTAACCAGAGGGAAAATGAAGGCAAAAAATAGAAAGCATGATGGGAAAACAGCATGTGTATGGGGGGGCTGGGAGAGAGAGGGCGTTTGTGTGTGAGAAAACGCCAGAATCGGTTGAGGAAAGGACWGAAATATGTAAAGAAATAAGATGGAGAGGGGATGTTTGCCAAAACGGGAGATGTTTTGTGAAGGAGCACAGTGTGTACACGTCAGGCCAAATTAGACAGAAAAGACCAGCTTCAGCTCAGAGGGCTAAAATTGTTATGTGTGGTCACAGCCTGGGTGAGATATGCTTACTTCCTCTAGAAAACACTTGTCGCTTTAGTTTTGCTGTGACGGAAAGTCCACTGTGCACATGTTCACCCAAGTGGAAAAACCAATTCATTTTCTGGGAAACAAAGCAAAACGAAAATAAATACATTTCAATAAAGTCTTCGTTTTTGTCTACACTTTTAAAATATTCAAGTAAGCTAATGTGTTTAATGAGCGTTTATTAATGATAGAATGAGCAACACTGTCATGCATGCGAAAAACTGTTTTATCTTCGCTGTAATAAACTTTCAGAAAGTCGTGACCTTGATTCATGCATTTATAAAAAATAAATTAACAGCTAATTATATTTAAAAAGCACAAGTTGAATRGTTTTGCCTTTGATTCAAGCTTTACTGAACATGTCAAAGGGAGTTAATGTGTCAGAAGGTTTATCTTGAATGAAACAGTCAGCAGCGATATTTTTACTGCTATATATTGCAAGTGTTACGCCTCAAATTATACAAAATAATCRACTCCTTATCTGTGAGGTGGTGCTAATGTTAGCATTTAGCAACACAACAGAACTACACTTGAAGTCAGGTTTGTAGGATTACCAAACATTTAAATATTGTCTCTTATTTGCAGCTAAAAAGTCGTGTTTCCTAATAAATTGATAAGAAATGCACTTAAATCCTTATTTTAAGTGCCAGTGCAAATTGACTTTGAACTGCAATTAATYTAGTCTGATCATTTAGACCATCTTCTCCCTACATCCCTGCAGCAGTGCTTTTTATTTTAATTTCCAAATGTTGGCGACCTAAAGCCAAAAACTCATACCGTCTGTTAACACTCAACCATTTTACCTAAGAGCGAGTGTCTCTACTGTTGTTTTGTTGTCCTCAGAGAGACAAAATTTTAAATAGAAGTGARTAACAAGACAAACTACGATGGCGTATTAGGGCCACTTTGCAGATGAAACAAAAAAAAGGAGGAGCAAATCTCAGAGAAAAAAACTCTGAATTTCTGAGATTATTTTCAGAAATTTTTGAGAAAAAAACAGTCAGTTCTCTTATGTTGAAAAGTTGCAATTTTGCTAGAAAAAACTCAGAATTTCTGAGATTAATTTCAGAAATTTTCRAGAACAAAACAGGCAATTCTCTTAATTTGAAAAGTCGCAAATTTGCAAGAAAAAACCCCTGAAATTTTCACACTTAAAGGCAGAAATTTGCAACATTTAAACTAGATATTTGTCAGAAAAACCATGTCAGAAAATGTCATTTAAATGTCGCAAATTTCTGCCTTTAAGTGTGAAAATTTCTGAGTTTTTTTCTTGCAAATTTGCGACTTTTCAAAATATGTTTTTTTTTCTCGAAAATTTTTGAAATTAATCTCAGAAATTCTGAGCTTTTTCTCGGAGATTTGCTCCTCCTTTTTATTTTTGTTTTCATCTGCAAAGTGGCCCTAATATGCCGTCGTACTTGATTGTTTAAAGTAATTTTAAAAAGTTTGTTCACTTTGATTTCTCATCATTTTATGTCATAAATGTGATTTTTCTTTCATCTAAATTAATATACTTTTAATCTAAATTAGTTTTAGAATTTGAATCAATACTTGAAAATAAAAAAGAAACAGCTCAGTGTTATTTCTTCCTTTCTAAAAAGTTTCATCTCAAAAAAGTGCAAAACCATAATTGTGTTTTCATTTTTTTTTTTTTTTTTGTGAGGGGGGGCTTCTCCCTAACTTCTCCTCTCATCTTCCGCCCTCACCAGGACACATTGCGGGAGTGCCCACCAGACAATCACCCTGACGTGGACTATGCCTGCAATCCGAGCCTTCAGTTTATCTCGCCCATGTACTTTGTCTCCTTTGTGCTCACCGCCCAGTTTGTGCTCATCAATGTGGTGGTGGCCGTGCTGATGAAGCACCTGGACGACTCCAACAAGGAGGCCCAAGAGGAGGCGGAGATGGATGCAGAAATTGAGCTGGAGCTGGCCCAGGGCACCCTCTGTTGCATGGGTGCCCCCGGTTGCGGGGGTGGGGGGGTGGACAAAGGACTGCTTCCTGTCGGATCGGTTCCTGGAGGCCCAGCAGGGAGGAAGGAGAGAGGAGGCTCCCGAGGGGACAAGGGAGAAGGAGTGAGGAGGTTGCAGCATGCRGTAACTAGTGCGCGCATGGGACCATACCACTCCTGTGACTCCAACCGGTCATCGTACTCTCCAGCACAAGTGAGTATTTCCATMCGAGTGTGTGTTTGGGAGTGAAATGTTTTATCTGAAAGTGTGAAATGCTGATTATGGATGTTTCGGGTCGGTGGTTGAGAGAATGTCAAGCCGATAAACTGATAAAAGATGAAATATCTCAACAAAACTAATGAGAAATGTTAGTATTTTACACCACTGCTGTGAAAGGAAAAACTGACAACATACAGTATTTCTCCTAAAATAAAACAATGGGTGACTTGGCCAGCCATAAGCAGACAAATATCTGTAATACRCCTATTTTGGCCTCCAAGAATGCAAAATATCTTACATATTGCAATGCTTCATAAAAAGCATAAAGTTAAGCAAATAACTAGTGTATCATTATTTATCAAAAGAATACATTAGTTATTGCAGAAAATGATGTATAATTTGCTGTAATAACTTTGATGTAAATGTGCTTTGAGTTACCAGTGCAGAAAAAAAGATGGCGGCAAGTAAATATGTAGCAGATCGACCTGATTAATGTTTTTTACACGGTAGTGTTGCATTAGTTCATACAGAGAAAATTACATTTTAGATGCTGAGCTGGAAAAAAAAGTACAAAAGAAGTGTTGTTTACTCTGAATGGCACCAATGTGAGGAAGGGAAAGAAGGGAAAGACCTATTTCCTCGTTTTATTTGAGTAAAATCACTGAAAGCATCAAATGGACGTTTTTTAGAGTTTTTGTTAGAAGGAAGGTAAGATTGGAGGTTTAAATGTTGAAGAGTGTGGAGATAGAAGATAAAAACAGTGCATCAGCAGCAATGATGCACTACAGCAGCTCCATCACCAAATTTCCACATTAATTAAAAAAAACTACATTAACATTATAGAAGTTAAAGTTAGAGGTGTGCACCTATTTTATAGATGTTATTTTTTTTGTCATTTGTTTTACTAACCTCTCAACACAGACAAGAATGGATGAGTTAGCAGATGAATGCTGAGAGTTGATCATTATTTCACTTCCTACATCTCCGTGTGTGAGTGACTGTCTAGTCAGTGGAGACACTTTCAGTGTAAGATTTCTAATGATGGTGTTAGATATCCACACGGCTACAAACGTAACGATGACTCACCCGCTGACACGAGGAGTTTCACCTTTGTGGAACTAATCTCGGCTGCACGGAGCCATTTTTAGCTCAGTGTTGGCTGACAAAAGAACTTAATGCAGACCAGGCAGCATCCTCGCCCACGCTTTCTATCTTGATCCCTTTGCCTTCTAGTTCTGTGTCTCTCTTATCGGTGCAGCGAGGGATCAAACAGGTTGATGTCATTTACACAAAGCAGAAGTTCTGGGGTTTTTTGAACGTGGGTGTGTGTGTGTGTGTGTGTGTGTCAGTCCCAGTTTGTGAGTGCAGGTGAATATGCTGTTTTCTCAATCTTAATTAGAGCACCTAGGTAATAAGAAACCATATTTTTAGTTTGTACAATTTATCAGAGAAATGTAGGATGCTGTAAAAAAATCCTTTTATTTTATTGTCAGTAAGAACTCGTGCTAGTTAGAAACATATATTCATTCCAGCTTTTCAAGTCTGCAGCACATTCTAAAGAGTTGCAATGGAAAATAAAAATAAATAYTTTGTGTCACAACAGTGCAACCTGTCATATGATGGCCTACATAATATATGTTAAAGCAACAATTTTGACCTTTTAAAGTAGGGTTCTGTGGGAAGATTAAGAACAATTAGGTATTTGAGGGTCCTCAGTTTGGWAAAATAAAGTTTATTTCTAACTGGACTGAGAGATGACAGCTAATATGAGTCGAGCCAAAACCAAAGTGGACTGACTCCATTTTAAATGAAAATGCAGTATGAATGCTTAATGCTGAAAGATTGTTGCAGAAAAAAAAGATGTACAGATAGAAAAGATGTAGATATTTTGTAATTTGTTGTAAAGTCACCAAAAATGTGAAWTTAGAAGAAAATTTGCTAACATGTAGCAGAAAAGCTGAACCTGGCACAAATAAGCAGAATTGGCTGAATTAAGCAAAAAGAAGCTGAAATTATCACACAAATGAAAAAGCTAAAAAGTAACTTAAATTGCTGAATTGCTGTAGCATAAGCTTAAGTTAGCAAAAAGAAGCTGATACAAAACAAAAACAAGCATTTTTAAATAAGAGGAATAGTTGAAAAGAGCAGAAAGATAAATGGAAAGCAGAAGAAAAACTACAATTAGCAAACAAAAAAGAAGAAGCTGAAGGAATCTGACATTAGCACAAATAAGTTTAAAAAGCAGAACCAGAAATACTGAAATAACAATAGTCATAGTCATGTCCTGAAGGTTTTGATGTATAAATTGTTGAAATAGCATAAAAATTGCAGAATATGTGCCAAAAAAAGTATGAGGAAAAAATGGATAATCTCAATCTCAGTGCTTTATAGCATTTACACAACAAAGATCCAACCTAAAAAATGTGCTGCATTTTATGTAAATCATGTTTTTTTTTACCTTTACAATGTTGCCAGTTTYCATGAATGTTCCAATTTACATGCTGCCATTGATGTGGAGAGCTGCAACCGAAGCTGCTGCTTTGATGACTCAAATCTTTGTAGCCTCTTCTTCTGCAGTCATGAATGTGGTTCTGTGCTTTTACTTTGTTAAAAACTAAATTTAATGTCCTTGAAAAAGATGTCATCTCAAAGGTATTGAATATTACGCTGTTATGAAATCTCAGTGAGTTTTTTTTTCTATGCTTTTACCATTACGGAAGTTTAAATTAGCTTTGCTAAGGCTACTGATAAACACCACACAGAGCCTGGCTTTTGGACTTCTTGCTGAAAACAGTCTGGATGGTACATGTTTGGTCCAGAGCACACAGTGTCAGCTTCTTCCACAGAAGGTTTGGAACACTGATTCCCCTGAGCCTGTTTCCGCTGTGCCAGATGCTTCAAGGTTAACAAGACAAGTCAGCGCTGCAGCTGGAGGCTAACTTAAAGGGYCCTGTTTTGCCTTGTAAAGTTTTGGATAGCGCAGTAACGCTGCATTGCAGTGCTTGACAGAGTTTCCCCAAACTAATCCCTTGCCCATGGTGTTGCTGAAAGAGGTTTTGATGCAGTGACATCAGCAGAGTTAGACATCTCAACTTACCCTTTATGCATTAAAATGTCTCCTGATTCCTCAAATGATTCAGTTCACGCATTGCAAAAAGTGAAATAATAAAATACTCTCCAATTATTTCTTTCAAGGTGACTTTTTTGCAACAAGCCAAGATTATGCTTTGTTGACATCACTTGTTCAAATAAAAAAATAAAATCTCAAATTWGCCTAAAATCGACCACACACCAACTGTTTTCAGAATGTGCTGCATGTCTAATGTGCAGGAATGGGTTATGGCAACAAATAAAATAGGGTACCAAGACAAAACATGAAACATGTTAAATTCATACCACTGTCATACAGTTCGGTAATCTATCTACCTGCRCATCTTTATACAATTCCAGCTTTTAAAAACAGAGTTTCAGATTAAGTAAACAAAGTTATTTGTAACATAGGGTACTTTTGCAAAATTCTTAAAGCAAGGGCGCATTCTGACATTCTCAGCGTGGTTTCTGAATGCATCAAGGTGGAATAGTGGGTTGTAGCCAGCCCACCACTTTTGCATCTTAAGGCCTCCAAGTGAGATTGTAACAGAGCCATAACAGTCGATGTAATAAAGTAAGTCAGAGGAGAAAATCAATTACACACAGTAACTTTACATTTAGTTGAAGTGTTTCTTAAACAGATGATCACTACACTTAGTTTACTTGTGATGTTTTGTAAATGACGTGAGGGGGACGTCCAAGTGAATTGCCTAGAGCTTTGTGTCAACAAAACTGAATTGTCTTTGATTCTGTGAAGCTCACTTTATTTTTGAAAGCTCATGTCTACGGGAAATGACTCATTTATTGATTTAGGGATGATTAGAAGCAGCTTAAAAACATACAGACATTAATTACGGTGACATGCACAAGTTTGGGCACACATTTGGTAATGTTACGTTAAAAGGGTAGTATGGATTTTTCAGGCACATAGTTCAATTTTATACACAATCAAGTAACTACTGTACCTTCAACTGTCATGCAAAAGCTATATGTATAAAAATTTTGACTTTACCAGTGGTGGGCACCAGCAAAGGGCAAATCCGCTAATTGCGGACCTAAATATTTCATTTGCGCTTTAGCGGTCTTACTAATTTTTATMATTTATAAGCAGATTTACACTTTAACTAMTTATCTACCAGTCATCACTGAACAGCGGAAGATATGGCTGTTAATGAATCACAACACACGTGATCTATCCAACAGCACTCCTCCCAGATTAACTCACTTATTGGAAAGGTATACATCTTTGCTGACTGTTGCTTTCGGTCAGGGTTCTCATTTCCCACAATGCTTTGTGTCTGCTTACGTAACAGGAAGGCAATAGCAAAAACAGTTAAYGTTTGTAATCCATACTAAAATTTTGCTTGTAYTGATTTATTTTATTTTACAATCGGAGCTCCTTTTTAAAAAATAGATAAAGTTTAAATGCTGGAGCTCAATWCTTGATATAATTGGTTGAAGCAATCGGCCATCGGGGTTAGAGAGGCAGAAATGATTTAAAGATGTTATGCTGGTGAGGACAGACATCTAGTGGTCAACTGGAGCAACTACATGGAAAACTTTAAAATCCAAGCTCTTGTTTTGAAGTGRAGATAGTTTCCTGTACTGAGTGCTTTCGTTTCCCGTCACAAATCAAATCCGTCATGTACCCAGAATGCATCGCCTCAGTTTTCCAGTAAACAGTTTTAAAATTACTTTATTGATGCTTCTTTAATGAAAAATCTACAATAAACAAAAGAAAAAGACAAAGAAGCAGCCGAACTAGCAATCCTCAACAACTTTTTAATTTTTACACCAGGAGCTAAAGGTCAGTTTCAGGAAATCACATCCCCAGCAATCGGCAGTTGTAGAACTAAGTTGTAAAAGAGTTCATACACCGCTAGTTGGCAGTTTTGTGCATTTAT